TACAGCAGGTTATAGATACATTGGTTTCAAAATTGACTCAAGGAAATCAAGCGTACGTCAATTCCTATTCATCTTGTATCGTATCGTCATAGGCTATTACTCATCAATGTTGATTTAAAGGGGCGTATCGGAATGGATCCCTTTTGGAGCGGGGTATTCACTTGGGACACTACTATCTCATCTTGCTTCCGCACAAATGGAAACTACGGAGATTCGAATAATGCGTTCACAAACGTTGGATTTCCTTGACGAATTTCTAACACACATTTTTTCGGATGACACGTCAAGATCAAATGTGACAATGTCATCAATTGACACCAATTTGGGCATCATGATTGGACTATCAAAGTTTAATCGTGAAGTTGAAGAGAAAGTCGAGTCAATTTATCAAAGGGCGATTTCGGACATCGAAGAATTCGTTAAGAAAGAAGGGAATGTCAACTCAAGAATCAGGAAGAAGATTGTAGGTTCGTGTTGGCTCGCCGGATTCTCAAAAGGTGAGATACGCGAAGAAGTTGTGGAAATCTTGAAGAAGGCGACTAAAATCTCGGGCGAAAAGGTGACAGTTTGAGTTATCTCCGCATGAACCTATTTCCAATGTTCATATCTATTCATTTCCTAATTATCCGTTGTAGCGTGAATGGAACGGATATTACTTCCACTTTTCCCAAGCATATTCACATGCTTTGCAGGAGATTCTTCTTGCGAAACCGTCATCTCATTACATGGTGTCATATAGCTCCCAAATAAACGCACAAATTGATATGCTCAAATCACGCGAAGCCATCCAACGACACATCGCCATACTGACTTTAGGATCGCTTACCGGCATAAATTACTTTGAACGAATCTTGTCAACGCATAACGAGAGTTACTACTTCTTTTCTTTGGCATCAGACACCACTACTGCTCTAGTATTGGATAATTTGCAAAGTATTTCCATAATTTCTGGGATGAATGTGAAAGATGTTAAAGGAGGAAGGATTGCATTAGCTGTTTTAGGACGAATAGTTCAATATGCTTCAAGACTTTCCGATGAATTTACAAGCACGTTCACGACTAGCAGCATGGAACCAAAGGATTATTCTCGACTCCCCGTTCAAAGTTATTTAAAAGCTTTATTTAATTGGCTCACAAAAATGTCAAGTAAGTTCAGTTAAAAGGCCTCTTTGGTTTTTTTGTAGGAGAGAATTAGGCTTGAAGATATTAATAGATACATACATTATTCTGCGTACTCAGAAGCGAAAAAATTAGGTTCGCCCATGAATGTCGAGGCTGTGAGTTTAATTATTTCAACAATTTCTAAAGTAAAAGTTGGTCTTCCACCGGTCAACTGGTTTCCACTTCTCTCAAGATTCGGTGATCCTGCTTATAAGAGATGCAATTTACATTATAAAAGCATTTTAATGGCAATTCAGCATTGTCAACAATCGACATCATTAATGGAATTTCTAATATACTCGCTAGTTAGATTTCCCGAGATCCACAAAAGTCTTGATAACGATATTGAATTTGAAAAACTACTTGTAGGCAATGCGATGGGTAAAATTCTTGAGCTTTGTGGTTTTGAGAACACATTGTTTGATAATGAAAATGGAACTTCAAAAAAGGACACGGAGATCAACAAAACACGTGGAATGGAGAGCGTTTTAAAAAGTGTAACCATTCCAAGTTCGAGAGTCACTGAAATTGTTGATTGTGTTTTGAATAGCTTGTTTGGAGAAACTAAGGATCGTGAGACACCTAAAGACATAGTATGTTACCAGCGCATTTTAAAATTTCTGAAACCCGATTCCCTAAACCATCTTTCCTTTATTTTATAGGAGTTACAAACCATTTTCCTTACCACGATTGTTGGTCACATATCAAGAATCAATTCAACTGGGGGCAGCACTTTACTACAAGATATCAGGAAGTTATTAAAGGAAAAATATTACGTTCTCCACCCACCTTCAGACGAAGAGCAAGCCCAGATTATTCGACTCTTTGTACATTCCTGCATTATTAATATTGAAGATCACCATACATCCCCTGATCTGTTAAAAGAAGCCATCATACTATGCACCATGTCAGAACTGGGTCGTATTGACCCGATAAAACATTTGATTCCATTTCTGTCAGAACGTCTAATCAACGTTGATATCATGAGTTTGGAACTGTCGTCAGTATCAAATTTGATATTTTCCTGGATTTTTCGTTCCATCAATGTTCACATCCACAGTTCAGCAAAATCGGAAATCAACAAAAGAAGGAATCGTCTAGAATGGTTGGCCAGAATATTGGAGCTGTTGTTGATTTTAGGAACTCAAAGACAAGGCGAGCGTGTTAATTTGGCAGATGACAAGGAAATTTTCGAATATGGTATGAATGTTGCATTGTGTGGACTGGTAAATTTAAGTTGGGATGAGAACTTGGCAAAAATAACCACACGAGAAAAATCGTATACGTGTGAATACTATGAAATGTGGAATAAGGAATTCGAGAGGATCGTGCAGGATAAAGCTAGCGTGCGAAAGCTATCAACGTTAATTCCAAGGGAAGCCTTGATTCAGTCACGCGAGTCTGAGCAGATTGATGCAATTGTGAAAAAAGTGCGCAAAGCGTTTTCCTATTTTGAGGTAGTTCTGTTTTAAATTAGAAGGATCAAACATATCACTGACTCAAATATTCCTCTTCGTCATTACACATAGGTTGTAAAGCGATTGCTTCGCCTTTTAGAACTTGTACCAACAACGCCGAACTATGTTGAATATCGATTTGCCATTCGTTCGACGTTAACAAGCCTAAGACCTCACATTACTACTCAAGAATATTTGGATATAGTGTCCAGCCAGTCATAGTGTTTACATGCTTTGCGGATAATGTCGTGAATTTATTTTGTAAATGATTGTAGTAAAGCATAGCAAAGAAGTAACATAAAGTGCACAAAGAACATTGGAACGAAGAATCTTGATAAAATTTACAACTGTCATAAGTCAACAGTTAGTTTGTAAATACTTTAGATCGCCACAAATATTTTTTAATTGTAATTATTATTATCGGTATGTTTTATTGATGAATCAAACTCGTCAATTTTCTTTGACATCCCTAAGAGCTATGAAATAAAGAATATTATAGCATAATATTGTAGTTCCATTAGACCTCTTTCCAGCTATTTATTACACGCAGTTGCAAAGTTTTCTGGGCAACGTGCATTATGGAAATATTAAATCGGGCGACAATTGGTTTCCCACGTACATTTTCTTTTTTAATGCCTGATTTCGTAATTATAGCAACGACTTGTAAACCACTGGTTGGGTTAAACACGACACACTGCACAAATGAATCTATTAAATATACAAAACAATAGGTCAGTTTTTTTTACATATAACAGGCATACCGTTTTTCTATTTCATGCTCACCTTATATAATGTATTCCCAGAGTAACTGTCAACCTACTTTGTTCGATTCCCACACTCTTGACAATCAAGGACATAACAGTAATCCAAATTTACTGACATCAAATATCGATGAAGCACTGGAAATTTTAAAAGATTGGAAGGATCTTGAAAGTAACCTCGATGACAACCTACCAATATTGATCGGATCTCGAGCTGCGAAATATCATCTTCCGTCTTTTCGCGAAACGAACGATTGGGACCTGGTGGTTACCGTGTCGCAAACTATCGAATTATTGAGCTCATTCATCATCGGATTCATCGGATCTTTTCAAATGTTATTTTATAAGGGGATCGGTGTAAAGATTCACGGCTACTACAAGAGCTCGAAGAAAAACTCCTTTACTTTCGATTTAGATCTTGTGACTAACGGCCAAGAGACAATCAAAAACGATGACGGTTCCATCGTCGAGTTATTAGACATCCCAATTGTTACCAGCTCAAAGCTGATCATGGATATGTGTCGTGAAGTTGATGATATAACCACTATACCACTTTTTGGTTTGAAATGTCGTGTTGCTTCCCTTGAAGTTCTTGAAGCACTAAAAACATCTCACATATTCTTACCTGCAAACTTTTCCAAAAACATATCCGATTTGCATACGCTTCGAAAGGTCCTTCAATATACCCAGAAAATTCCTAGAACACATTCATTATTCGAGCCCGCGCGAGATCAATCCGTTGCGAATATGTTGGAAATTCGCACAAAAGAAACAGAGATTACCAGCGAAATACATGGTCAAATTTTTAACCGGAACAAAATAAACGATGATAATTTTTCTGCACGTCTGACCGTCACTCATGATGAATTATACGAACTCGTAAAATATGGCGAACAATCAACATTCAAGACGATGCGAAATGATTTGGTAAAGAATTTTTAATAACCTATACAATATTTTCGTTGAATTTTTAATGATCTTGTTCTAAAAACAAAAAAAAATTGATTCTCTTTTTAAAAAAGCAGAATTCATGGATCGATAAATCACTCTTCGACAATGCTGACTATTTCACTCAATTGAAGTGCGTCAAGGAAGAAGCAATGACAATAGCTCTTAAAAGATATATGATTCCCAGAACTTGTGTCGACTACGAAAAAGCCTTTTGTTTAGCATTGTCCCACATCTGTACAGCATCAATAAATGTCTGGTTCAGAAAGTTCGCCGTTGATAATTATCCGCGTCTCCTCAGTTGCGATAAGGATCTTACACAGATCGCAAAAGATATTCGAAATAAGTGTAAACTGAAAAAAGCCATTGGTGACATATCGATACTTGGTCAACATTTTCCCGATTCTGATAGTTTTTCAATAGTGGAAAAATTGATTCAACAAACCCAAGAATTCAACCCTCCTGATCTTATCCTGCCCGAACCCGATGACATAAATGTACAATTTGAAACTTTTCGTTACGGCCTTAGAATATTCCCATCAAACGGCAAAGACAACAACGAACAAAAAAGGGGTTTAGAGTGTGTGATTACTGTGGTGTACAAAATGTACGAGGAAAACGAGAGTAAAATAAATGAATCATGGTGGGCATCGGTTTCTGTATACCCATTCAAGGCCGAAAGGTAATCTTGCTTTTTAAAAATAAAAATACATCGTCATTATCATTTACAGATATTCTTTCAACATTCATATTAGTGACGACTCTGAAAATGTGGATCAAAGTATTAGCGACACAGATACACCAAATGGCACGGATCCCACAACGAATCATCCATTTGATTATGACATGATAAACTATGATGTTGAAATCGTAGAACTCGAACAAAAACACATTCTTCTCATCTACAGCGATCACGGTAGTGCAGGGCTTGGAGGTTTTGGTGATGTAGAAAGTGATTCGGATATGTCACCATGGGTGTTGACAAAACCCGCAGATCAGGTTGCCAGCGAACTTGGTATTCCCGAACTGAATGGGGATTTTTTGGTTAGATACATCATAGCATATCTTGATCCCGAGTTACCTAATGGTGGTGATTACCCATTCAGAAAAGCGATTACAACTTTGGAACAAAAGAAGGGAATTAATATGATGCCAAAGCAGCATTTGTGGTTTTACCTGTGGTGGTATGCAACGTATTTTAAAAGAGGAGATTGGGGCATCTCTTAGAAATTTTGAAACACACATGTACGGCAAATGAAATCTCGATCATTGTAAAAAGATTAGTTCTTTTTCGGAAAGTTCACGTGCGTTCATGAGAAAATACACCATGTTTTCCGAGGACGACTACCTGAACATATACAACATGCAACTCCTAAATCTGTATTGTAACTGGCTAGCATTTTTTTTTTTTTTTTTTTCTTTTTGTCGATTTCAAAACAACTATCCGCATATAGTACATGTGTACATATTGTTCTTCCATAATGTGCTGCACGTGTAAACTTACAAAGTGCTACTGTATATGCGTATATATGCGTATTTCCAAGAATAATTCAAGATAATTACTGGAAAATCCGTTATTCCGTATATCGTAATACGTAATACACTATCCAGAAACATATATATCTCCTTTCCGGACATCAGTAAAATGAAAGATGTTTTCAATCTTTGGATGTCCTGTCAAGATTCA